TATGTTAAAAGTCTTGGTAAGCTAGTTGAAAAGGGGTTTTCGTTTTTCTGGGGGCCAGGTCATTCTCCCACACTTGTACCTCCAATGGAGCGGTTTGTGGTGGAGTATGATGCGGATAAGTGTATTGTTGCTGACAGAGTTGAACATTGTGTTCCGGTGTTCACGGAAGAAACAACTTTTGTGCCCGGGATGCCTGCTGAGTCATCAGCGCCAAGCGCGGGACCAGCGGGTACCGAGTGGAAGCCCAGAGAAACCGGCGTCTCCACCTAGCCCTCATCTGCGTGAAGATGTATCTCGACCTCATGAATCCGCGGTTGGGGACATTTCATGTCTGCCGAACCCAGACACGTCAGGTCATCCGCCAGCTGAAAAGCCAGTTCCCAAGGAACTAAAAGAGCCCAAGCGAAAGAAAATTCCTGTAGATCACCTCCTTACTCATCAGCCCGCATTGCCATCGTGTGATGTGTGTCGTCAAGCCAAGCTTAGAACGCACGCGCACCGACGTTTTGAGAATCAATCTGAAGGCAAGCAACTTGCTCAGGTTGTAGAAGCCCCAAAAGCCTTCCTGCAAAGGATAGCCTGCGACCATCTTGAGGCAGTTGAGGAAGGGTCCAAAGGGGAAAAGTATTCTCTTGTTTGCGTAGATGAGTTTTCCGGTGTGCTGTTTGCGTACCCTTCAAGTGACAAATCCCAGTCCTCTGTTGAATCGGCTTTAAAACATTTCTGCAGGGAATCCCAGCCCATTGTTGCGTCAGACCGCTATTCCAGCATTCTTGGAGCAATTCGCGAGCTTGGTATGCACCCGGAATCTTCACCACCAGGCGACAAGTTCCACAACCCACTAGCTGAATCGGCAATCAAAACAGTTCGTCAAGGAACTCGGTCCTTGCTCCTGCAAAGCGGCCTCAGCATCAAGCATTGGCCAAAAGCAATGACTTGTTTTTCCTACCAGTACAGTGCTACAACTCCGCCTAGGCTTGAGAAAGGTGGTTTGAGGGACCGAGCTGGTAGAGAAGTTCTAGAAGAAGGAGTTGAAGAGGCCGACACCCCAGAATGGGAAAGCAAGCCTAGCATACCCCGTTGAAGGTCGAATGTTTCCTTTTGGTTGCCTGGTGTGGTACAAAAAGCGAGATTTTCATGGTTCTTTTCAACCCGCTGGAGTACCTGCCCTCTATGTAGGGCCTGAGGTTTTGCCTGCAATGCGTTTCAAGGACACACATGTTTTGTACGACCTTCAGCTTTTGACGGGTGAGGGTCGTGGGAAGGAAGTTATCACCAAAGACATTGTTGCACCTTCAGGAAAGTGGGTGTTTCCCTTGACGTCCGTACCCATGCTCAAGCCTGTTACCCCAATGCCCAGTGAACCTCCTGAATTTGACAATCCGATATCTTGGTCCGACGAAGTCGATGTGTCAACCCGGAACCGAGCCATTACTAAGCGTCGTTTGGAACAGTATGGCCAAACTGAGTACTGTGATGGCTGTCTTTTAGGCACTTACTCGCACACTGCGGAATGTAGGGAGAGGTTCAACAGGTTACTCAACGACTCGGAACCACTCCCGCCTCGGAAAGATGTGGAGTCTCATGAACAAGGTCAAAAGGGTTCCACATTAGAAGACACAAGCGTTGGGATGTTGTTTGTGGATGATGTCCTTGACCATCCTGAGGGTTCCGAAAGCGTTCCGACTTGTCCTTCAGACTCAGACGAAGAATTCACATATACACCGACCGACCCTGGAGATTTGGATGAGATAGGAGAGCTTGTTGGTGGTTCGGTAGGGAAGAAAGTCGGGGAACATAGAATGGGTTTGTTTGTTGAGTTTTGTTGCGAAAATGAAAGTGCTTGTTGCAGGGTTGCCCGCCATCTTGGAATACCCTATCTTGGAATAACCAAGAATACCTTGAATGTTGAGAACCCAGATCACTTTGAACAGTTGATGCTTTGGTTGCAAGAAGAAATCCAAAACGATTGTGGTCCGGTTCACGTTTGGGGTTCCATTCCTTGTACTACCTGGTCTTCCTGGCAACACATGGCTTTGCACAAACTAGGAGCTGAATACCGAGACAAACTTGAGATCGAAAGGGCGAAGTCTTTGGACCTTGTTGTAAAGTACAAAGAAGTTGCTGACCTTGCTGGATGTTCGCGGGGGGGCACATCTACCTTTGAGTGGCCTCGGGGCGCCCTAGGTTGGAAAGAGGAAATTGTACAACAAATGGTTGTCGCTCTCAACATGAAACCTGTTCAAGTTGATGGTTGCGCTTTTGGTTTAAATATCAATGGTAAGCGACCCTTGAAACCATGGACATTTCAAACCAGCTCAGAGCGGTTGAGACAAGCGCTTTCCTCACGCAGATGCAAGCACCCTAAGGGTCATAAACATGATTTGCTGGAGGGTTCCCTTACCACCAAGTCCGGTGTCTACAATGTCGCCATGGCCACGTGTATTTTGACCACCTTGTTTCCTGGAGTTGTTGCCGACCGAATTCCGGCGATGCCAATCATGCCGTTTCATCCTGAACCCCATCGTGAAAGATTGTCAGATTTTCACCTTCCTTCGGTTTCAGTTTTGGGGACAATCCACAAGTTACTTTCGCGAGAAGAGATGCGAAAGGACCCGAAGGCTCTTCAGGCAATAAGGGATGAAGGACAGGGTGTTCGCCAAAGAGATGTTTGGGATGATTCCGTTGTTATGGAAAAAGCTGAACGGTTGGCCGCGGCTAGAGCTGATGGCAAAACAATACATGTAGCCGAAGTCATGCCGATAGCATCAATAAAGCATTGGGAATCAATTCCCAAGCGGAAGTATAAGGGGCGTCTCGTTTTCAGAGGCGATGACGTCCGGGACACTTGGGGAGGCGCAGCACGGTTTGGTGAAATGTTTGCCACTCCTACCAACATTCAGGCTATCAACTTGGCCATCTACTACGGGCTACTCGAAGGAAACACCCTTCGGGCCGCCGACTGCTGCAAGGCCTACCTTCAGGCCATGTTGTTGACAGAAGAAGAAACATACGTTGTTTTACCAAAAGAACTGTGGTTGGACTCCTGGCACGGGAGGTTCAAGAACCCGACGGTTCGACTCAACAAAGCCTTGTACGGCCATCCATTGGCGTCCGCCTTTTGGGATCTTCACCTTCGTCAGGCGCTGATCGGAGACTTAGGCCTAGAAGCCGTTGATGGGCGCCCCAGTGTGTTCATGTGCCCCAAGACGAAGCTGCTCGTTGTCATCTATGTTGACGACGTCTTGGTTTCTGGGCCAGAGCGCCACCAGGACCAATTCTGGGCAGCTCTCAAACGCAAGGTGGAACTAGACGAGGTTGAGCAATTGAACCAGTTCATTGGCCGCACTCACGAAATTGACGGAAGTCAGTGCGTGTTCAATATGCTTGATTATTGTCAGCAGGCCATTGACCTGTATGTTGAGGCTGCGGGGGGTTCTGGGAAGGTCCAGTTTCGCAAGGTTTCTACCCCCTATGTTTCAGACAGCCTTTTGACACAAGAGGACTATGAAGTAGAAGGCCAAGTTTCTGCTAAGGCGTCAAGCGTTCTTATGAAACTTTTATGGTTGACACGGCTGGCGCGGCCGGATTTGGCCTATGCCGTGGGGTCACTAGCCACACAAGTCACCAGGTGGAGTAAAAATAGTGACAAACAACTCTTCCGCCTAGTCAGCTATCTCCATTCTACCCAAGGGCTTTGTTTGGTGTCAAAGGTTCACGATTCCCCACAGTCATCCACTTTGGACCTTTTTGTGGACGCGGACCTAGGAGGTTGCCCCTTCACTTCAAAAAGCACTTCTGGCTTGTTCTTAGTGGTGAAGGGACCTCAGGGTACGTTTGCACCTATAGCCTGGAGTTCTAGAAGGCAGCAGCACGTAGCACGTAGTACGGCAGATGCGGAGCTCAACTCTTTGAGTGAAGGTCTCCACGAGGAACTGCTCCCTGCTGTCATGTTGCTTGAAAAACTCCTGACACCCGAACTTTCCCCCAAGCCGATCGTACACGAAGACAATTCAGCCGTGGTTCAGGCAATAGAGAAGGGATATAGCATCAAGCTTCGTCACCTTGCGCGCACACCGCGGCTGGCGTTGGCGTCCTTGCACGAGGCGTTTACGTCTTGGTGTCAGCTAAGGCAGACACCAACTAAGGATCAGCTTGGTGACTTGTTCACCAAAGCCTTAGCACCATGCAAATTTGCCCCGCAGGCCATTGGCCTTGAAATTTGGAAGACGGTTCCAGGCCCTAGTTCAGGGCAAGAGTAGGTTTGGGTTCTTCTTGTGGGTGAGTCGCCTTGCGCTTGCGCGGGACTCACCAAGGATAAGGCGCAGCTCTTCGTTGCATGTCCTTTGGCTTCTTGAGCCCTACGTGCGGCTGCAGAGCGCTTCCGCTGCTGCGCGGATACACCTGGGACCTGCTGCTCTTTTTCCTGAGTGCACTTGCTTCTTTTCACTTGTTTGTTTTGCATGATACTGTTTCTGCAGAACTAGAGTTTCACTCAATTTGGGTGTCCTTCAGGTAAAGGCATAGAGCCATAGAAGGGCGGCTCGCGTACCCCTGGCCGGGGGGGGTGCATGAGCACGCGTGTGATTGGATGGCTGAGACGCTTTACCTGCGGGGGGACGTTGATCACACCCAGCCGAATGACCGTCTTGATGACGCCTCAGGTGGAGAGTGGATTATTGCATGGAGAGGATAGCCAGACGAATAGAGGGCTAACTACGCCCCGGATTGGTTTGGCTCAAGTGGATAAAAGTGGTTCCTGTCGGGCTGAAACCGCAAACGCGACAGGATGTCTGTGGCAAGAGTGGTTCAAGACGTCTGAATCAGGCGTCACAAGAACCACACACCTTGGACCTAAGGACTTTACATGTCCTTCTACAAACAAACCAATTGTTTTCGGTTTGTTGCCATCACCACAAACGGAACTGAGCACGGTAGTTCATGACATCTAATAGACAGCCCCTTTCTATGTAGCGTCCTTCTGTTTCACTGCCTTGCTGATGGCCCCGAAGAAATTCTCTCAGGCTGCCATCGCTAGACTCTCCCAGGCAAATCTTTGCCTCGCGCTGGATGAATGGGGCGTAGAGTGGGGTTCTGGAATTGCGTGCGAAATTGGCGAAGAGAATCTGGCGCCCAGACGAGCCAGCAGCTGCTCCCACAGATTCAGTGCCTTCTCCCACAGGACAAGGCACAGCAGAATATCTTTTACAAGTTACAAGTGTACATGAGCGGCCCACTGCTCACACATGCAATATTGGAACCTCGATTGGACCTCGATTGGACCTCGATAAAAAGCACCTTAGTTTTCATATTTTTAATATAGATGCTAGCAGGTGGTGACAGGCGAAGTAGCAATATAAGCTTGTCTTCATTGGGCTCATTGGAATTGGACTTGAAAGTTCTAGCCACCTCTACAGTAGATACATTGCGCCGTTTCAGGCCAAACGGAAGAGCCTAAGATTGCAAAGTGCAATGACTGCGGTGTCTCGTTGACCAAAGAGAACTGCTCTATCTTTGACAACTTTTGTTCGTCGTGTTTCGCCTCCAATGTGGCAGACGCTCGTCTTGACAGAGCCCTCTCTTTCCTATTGAGTACTTTGCAGGGGAGGAACCTTTTTTTACATGACCTTTTCCATAAGATCGTTTGCGCACTTGTAGCCGTAGGTGCGGGCCCATAAGCGGCGCCACAGTTGCCTGAGCTGGGTCGATGGAGACAACAAATCACCAGTTCCAGGGGTCTGCTACGACTGCTGGAGGCAGCAGGAGCAAATCCAAGAAGAGATTGAAGAAGAGCTTGACCAAAAGCCGCCTTTGCCACCTCCGACTGAACCACCGGAGCCTGAGCAGCTTGAAGTTGCTGAGGCTCCGACTGCTCCCACCGGCGGCTGGCTGAGACGAGGAACGAGAGAGTCGCAACACCTGATATATCCTGTTGCACCATGCAGGTCATGGCTCGCGCAGTCACCAACTTAGAAGAGCTGCTTTGCGAAACTGGAATCATGAGCAAGCAGAAGGTGCCACTGGAAAGTGAAGCCGCGCGGCTATGCTGCACAGACGAAAAAGGATTATCGGCGCGTTCGGACGTTCTTTTTCGCGGGGTCCTCGCAAGAAGTCAACAAGCAACCGCAGTTGGCCAGACGCCAAGCATTTCCTTCGACCACATTACACTGTGCAGTTGGTTGCCTGCTGATGGCTCCCGCCTTCCAGTAGGTGTTGTGACTTCAAACTCCAAGATCAACAAGGACTTTGAAACATGCTTCCCAGATGCGGTATTTCAAGCTCAAAAAAGCGGGTCCATTACCAGCGAGAGCTTCACACACTTTTTCATCGAGTGCTTTTGCAAGCCAATGAGGAAAAGGATTGAGGCGTCCAAACCCTTAGTCCTCGTCTGCGACACCGGCGGGGGGACATGGCCACACCTTTCAACCTCTTTTGTCAAAGCGGCGTTGCACTACAATGTCTTCCCTTTCTATTTACCAGCATACAGTACTAAAGGGCTGTGCCCTTTGGACCAGAGCTGTCACGCTGAAATGAGCCGGATGTGGAAGTCATTTAAGCAATCCTGCGCAGCCAAGAACCAATCCATCAGTTTGTTCATGGGCCTGAAGGCTGCATCGTCTTTGTGTGATCACGCCCTCAGCTCCAAATATGCTCTGGCTTCTTGGAAGCACATTGGCTTGGAGGCAGGCCGTGCGTGGGATCGTGACAAACTGTTTGTGCAGCGCAAGGACGAGTTGTTTGTGAGCAGAAGAGATCAGGCACATGCTACTCCTTCCAAGAGAAGAGCGTCCAAAGCAATAGAGATGTTGGACACAGTGAGCCCCAAGCGCAGCAAGTGTGAGTGTGGAGCTTGGGTTGCTTCAATCCACCGACTTTGTCATAGCTGTGGCAAAACGAATGTCAACTTCAGCGAAGATGATGCCAAAGTTCATCAGACGGGACATCGCAAAGGCTGGCAGAAATCGGTAGCTGAGACGGAGGTCGCTGAGTTGAGCCAGAAGGACCAGAAGCTGCTTTCGCAAGTTGACAATCTGATGAAGGAGCTGCGGCGGCGCTCGGATGAAAGCAAAGATGATGCTGATGTGGGGCCGGGGGTAGCTGCAGCGGCTGCAGCTGCACCTTCTGCTCCTTCTGCTCCTTCTGCTCCCTCAACACCAGCGCCCATGCAGGTGGATCCAGCACCTGACGCTGAAGAGTTTTGTTCTGATACAGAATGGGACCTCAATACAGACAGTGGCTGTGTTGGATTATTCTGTGCATGTTTCACAAAAAGAAGCGAGAATCTTTGAAGCCCCTGGCAAGCTTCTACATCGCACACATGGTCAGGCCATGCGTGACAAAGACCAAGCCTCTGTACGTCGAATTCTCAAAGAGAATCGTGAACTCGGGTTTGCTCAAAAGCAAAGATGGAAGAGAAGCATGGATTTCCAGTACGACATACAACCGGGCACAGAGGTTCACCAAGACTCCCAAAAAGGGAGCCTGAAGCGAAGCAGAACACGCTTGATAGAGAAAACCGAATTCCCGCAATGGAACTGCTTCTTTTAGACAAAAACAAAGATCTTTGTATATTTCTCTCGTTCCAATGGGATTTGCTTTTGTTGTGATACAGAAACAGCTGTTTCCAAGCCAGCGTTCCACTGGGATTACACTTGGAAAGGACAAATTTTGCATGTTTTCCAGCTGCAGCGTTGCAGCGTTACCATTGGGATTCCAAATCCAGTTCCTGACTTCCCCACCTTAGGTAGGACCACGCGTTCCATGCAGTTTCATATCTGGGAGTAAGAAATCCCTGCCTTTCAGGGTTGCCTGTATTGCTTTATCTCCCACCAGTCCTGCCTTTGTTCCGTCAAGTACATACAACGATTCAAGACAAGTCATTCATCAGACGGCAAACTTCCACGATCAGAGAATGATCAATGTCAATCTGGACAAGTCCGCTGAGGTCGCTCAAATTGCAGAAGTGCGACACAGGGAACTGATGTCCAAGAAAGATGAAGACGTGAAAAAGACTGTGGAAGCTATTCACCGCGAGGCACAAGACCATGTCAAGGAGCAACTCGAGTTACAAGAACGAAGGGCTGCATCTTGGGCGGCAAATGAACAGGCTAAGATGAATGCACAAGAAGCAGTCATTAAGAATGCTGCGTTGACTGAAGCTCAACTATATAATCACAACTTGACAGAATTACAACAACAGGCACAGAGTCGTGAATCGCAGTTGAGAGAAGAGTTGAGAACCCAAACAGAGCTCATTAGAGAACTTCGAGAGAAGATGGAAACATCCGCTCGAGGGAACTTTGAGCCTGCTGGAATGCCAGCGAACCTCAGGACAACTCTTCCCGGTCCAATGGGTTCAAACGAGCTGCCTCTTGGTCAGCTGTATCATCCTATGCAAAGATCAATGACTGATAGCTCAGGTGAACCCTACCGTGAGGCTCATGCGAGCGGAGCGGTAAACGTTCCGAAGGCAGCTGGAGGTGGTCCGCCTGATCATCCCAGTTCATCAAGTTCGTCTTCATCCGATGACAAGAAGAAGAGCAAGAAAGACAAGAAGAAAAAGAAGAAAGATGACAAGGAAGAGAAGCGTGGCAGATCACCCCGTAAAAAGAACAAAAAGAAGAATAAAAAGGGGTCACCTTCACCATCCGAGTCACCTTCATCGTCGAGCTCATCTTCTGAGGACTCATCATTTGCCCGTAAGGTTAGGAAGCATTTGAAGAAAATGAAGAAAGAGGATCGTGAACAGAGGGCTAAAGAAGCCGAGAAGATCCTTATTCCTAAGTTTCCTACACCTGAAAGGTATAGGGATTGGCGAATTAAAGTTCGGGACAACGTGTCAGCGGCATCCGCTAAGCCGGACAAGGCCAGGTTGTGGCTAGGTAAGGTTTATGAAGACGCCGTGACTACTAAGGACTTGGATGACTCCGAGGGATTCATCACGCTGGATGCCAAGCTCCTCTCAAGTCTCACGAACTGTGCGGAGGGGGACCTAGCTCGCCAACTGAACACATTCAAGGAAACTAAAGAAAAGGCGAAGGAACCAATCAAGGGACGACAAGTCCTTTTGTTGTTTCATGAGTACTTTGCCACATCCATCAAGCACGGTGCTATTTACGATGTTGAAGATCTTATCTGTGTTAAGATGGTGAACGAGGACCTCAAAGGTTTTGTCACGCGATGGGAGTCTGTCATTGCGGGGATGCGAACGGAAGTTGACAAGAAGTGGCTTGAGGCATATTTTCATCTTGCTGTGAAGAATTTTAAGCCTTTAGCTCATGACCTTGCCATCTACGAACGCGCCTCGGAAGGGAGTGCCGAAAAGACTTATGACTTTTTGATTAAGTCAGCCAAGGCATACCTCGAAAGAAAACGTTTGGAAAAGATGAGGGATGCCACGAAGCGTAGTCTTGGAGGTAAAGACCCTGCAGCTCCTGTCATTGACCCAAATGACAAAAAGCCGAAAGGCGTTTGTTACGAGTTTCAGAACAAAGGGAAGTGCAGTAGGCGCGACTGCCCATTCAAGCATGAGAAACCTATGCTTTCTCGCGAGCTACGTTAAGAACTCGCAACCCGCAACCGGGACATACAAGGCTACCAAGAAAGCACCTCCAGGTAAAACGGTTGTTCTGATGTGCAGCTTACGCACCTGACAAGCACCGCTTCCTTTTCTTGAAGTACAGTAAGTAAGAACCCAATCGCAATCACTCTCACTATCCGAATCTGAGGAACTAAGGGAAGAAGGGGAAGGCCAAAAATATGTTGTTTTGTTACATGTTACGTACGGGTTCTTCTTTGGTTGCCGCAGCACCGCTGCCGGTGTGCAGTCACCAGCGTGGCAGAAAGGCGCAACACTTCATATATAAATAAATATAGGATATAACAATATATGGCAATTGGTGCAACACTCAAAACAACAAATGGAAAAATACAAAGAGAGAGCTACTGAGAACACGCTGCAACCTGAGGTCGGCATGGCATCAGATTTGGTTACCAAATTTTGGTAGGCATTATTTACTTACTTGTACCACTGTTTCCATTACCCACTGGCCCACTGCTAGCCGGCCTACACATGTTGGACATGACTCAACTGTTGAAGTTCAAGTTCAAGTTGCAAATTTGTTTGTACTTTGTACATTGTGTCTGGGCCACCAGTTGCAGCGGGGATGTGGTCTGACGCCATGGCAGCAGCATGAGCGCAAAAAGAGCGCCATTGGTGGCTTGCAGCACAGATGACGATGATTTGAGGCAGAAGAAGAATTCCCAAAAAAGAAAGAGGGCATTCGCATCACGAGCAGGGTTTCATTTGCCAAAGGGATTTGTCTACTTGCTAAAGTGGGCAGCTGCTCGTGAGGGAGAACCTGAACACACGAGAATGGATTCTAGGTCGCAGTTGGCAGTTGGCGGCGGCGCGCGGCGAAACGAAACATGAAAGCATGTGTTAATGTACAGTCTGAGTGTGTGTGTAAATGAAGGCCCTTTCTAGAACATAGCAGCGTTTGTTTGTTTGGCAGTGGCATTACATTCAGCCAAAAAGCATCCATGCTAGACTCCTAGACCGCCTGGACCTAGACAAACCAGCTCAGCAGCCAACCAACCCTAGGCCCTAGGCCCTCATTCCCAATCCCAATTCCCAATCCAATGCCCATCATCATCATCATCATCATCATCCATCATCCATCATCCATCATCCATCATCCATCATCCATCA